AATGAATGGATGGGTTTAAAAAAGTTGACACAAGAGCAAACACTTGCTTACATAGCATTGCGCTAATAAGGAGAACTGGATGCCAGATTACAGCATTCAAAAAATCATTCAAATGAAAGTTGCTCAGTGGCACATGCTCCTCCATGATGTGTTTGCTGTTCGGCATACTTTCACAACTTTGAGCCCACAGAGCATGCTGATTAGCATCCTTCATAGTGAAGCCAGTAGAGAACATGGCTGACTTCCCATTAGCTCCCCACACACATGAAGGGGACAAGATAAACTTTTTGCATTGTTCTTCCAAACTTTTCAAATGTTTTTGTACTAATTGTGTTGAATTCTGAAAATAAATCATTTTCCAGAGTTTGTGATGTTCAAACTAATCCACTGCAAAATCAGAATCGGTATGTATATCATCCTTTTATTTTCTTTTGGGGCATTACAGGAATCCCTCTCCACAGCAAAATCTTCAAGTTCCTCCTGGGGCAGCTGAGATTTGAAATCTCTCCAAGACACCCTACAGAGAAAACTCATTTTGGCTGCTTGCATCCATGACCTAATTCTTTCAGCCCCTACCCAGAGCTCTTGATCACAGGTGAGGTTTGGATGGTAGACCAACTGGAAAATCAAGAGGTTTGCCTTTTGGCTTAGCTCCCTCTTCACCACAACAGTCCACTACAACGTAGTTGGATGTGCTGATTCTAATCCTGGTCGCTTCACGTTCTGCAGAAAACAGTCAGCTAGCTAGATTATGGCCTGACTATGAAGCCAACCGAACCACAACATCTACAAAAAGCAGAGATGCAACTCTGAGGTTCCCAAACCAGACAACTTCTTCCCCTGGCTGCTTATTGAGCTTCTGTCCATGGATACTACAGACAGGACCAGATGGTTCCAGGCTAAGATTTCAGTACCCTGCACTTTTAGCTCAGCATCCCCTATTGGGTAAGTCCACAGAACACAAAACTGGATGGTCAAATTCCTACGAACACTTTGGCAACTCTGTGAGGGTAAAGGCTAGTCCACTGTTTCACAGACAGGATGGAATCTGCATTGTTCCTCCGGAATTTGAGGTTTGGCAGTTGGAGCCTCCATTCCAGCACCCAGGAATAGACCTACCTCAGAAGACCCAGTAGTGTGATACCCAAACAACTATAGCACATCCTCTGGTTCCCTGTTTTGAAAATGGGAACCATCATCCGACTCTGCCATTTCACAGGCACTGTCCCCGACCACCACAGGACATTTTGTCAGCCAAGACAGCTCAGTAGTGTCCAGAGCCTTTAGCTTTTCAGGGCAAACCTCATCCAAAACTGGCGCCTTAAAATATGCATGTAATTACACACAACAACTTTGCTTTGGTATTCACCAGCTCTCAGTACAGATTCAACAACAGACATTCAAAGAAATAAAGACTTGAAACATGGCACAGCAACAAACTGTGATAGGACAGAGAATGGAAACAAGATAAGAACAGCAAAACAATTAAATCTGAATAAGCAGCTTATATTTGCAGTTAGTGCACTGTGGTTTGCTGTAGTGTGTGCCTCACAACAGACGTGCAAATGACTTTTAATAAAATGTTTCAATATTTTTTAGGTTTACAGGTGCAGTGCAGAATAACTGTGTGTGAATACTGGTAGTTATATGGAGCACAGTTTTTGCACCATGAATGCTGTTTGGGGTAGCATACATTAAAGCATAAATGCGGAAGTTGAAGAAAGAAAAATCAATTTGTGCATAGATTCAGAATCATAGAGAACAATAGGGTTTCTTATGTGAATCGATCTTGTTGTTTATTCCTTATTGTGTAAAATATTATGCTATATTTTGAAGTGCATCAGATGATTTTTACTGGTCTCCTGGCTTGAATGCATTAGTTCATTAAAACTACTTCCTTTGTTTTGTCTCACATCTATATGTCTGGAAAAAAAAAACCCACAAAAAAAAGGAGCATTATGGGATAGTGTTCCATTAAGTACCTGATCATTTTGACTTAATCTGAGTGTTACTGATTTTTGCTATTTCGCAACATTTAATGTTTTATTTTCCAGGTACAAGTGGACTTCTGTACATCACATACTTGCTTGTGATGAGATGTAGCCGCACTCTACTGAAACACTGGAGTAAGAGATCTATCATGAAAACCGATGCAGAAAATGATTGAACAAAAAGAATGTGCATCTGCTGTCATGAACCCTGACAGTCCTATTACGTACCTCGCAGTACGTAGATAGGTTCTGCTTTTTATTGTGTGTTATGATGTGTCACCTTCTCTTACCTTTTCTCACACTTCATGTAGTTGCCGTGTTCATCTTTCCCGCAGTTCCCAAAAGCGTTCCCTGCTGCATTGACATCCTCAAAGCAGGCATCATGGGCCGGTCGAGCTCCTGGAAACGTAACACACCTCATAAGCCCTCTTTACACAGGCTGTTTATTTTTTTTACTCTTGTTAACTGTGTTAGCTATGTTTTCCTCTGCTGACTCACAAAGCTCTTGGCAACAAATTGGCCAGCCACCTGTCTGCTGCACTGATGATCATGAGATCACAGCGCTAACCATACAAACAGTGCAAAACCCGCACCACCTAGGAGACGTGTGGCGAATATTACATTTTAAGAGGAGCCAGACATTCTGGGAAATATGTTTGTTTGGTATCAAAGCCAAAATCAGATGAAAAGATCAATATCAATTTCATCCAGTGGAATCAAGAGTCAGCTGGGTTTTGCTCACAGTGGAGTTTCGGCAGAGCTAAAACCTGGCAACAGGCCTTTTCAGATGCTGTGTCAGTGCGCCAAGCTGTTTTTCAAGAACAGCTCCAAATCTAACGTCGTCCAAGGCATCACAAGGTGAAATTTTATTTCTGTTTTTACATAAGTTAAAGAAGCAACACACAATGTGTAAACAACACAGCTCTGGAGATGTTGGAAGATGGACCTGTTTCAGTTTTGATGATGTTTTCTCTGAGAGCAGCTTCTGCCTGCAGTCTTTATGCGAAGCTTGGCTAAACACATACTGTACATTCGGCTGCCAGTTCTGCACTACAAAGCCAGCATATACTGAATAGTACACAAAACTGAGTTGGGGCCAGAATCTTTTTTACCATTGCACCATACCATATAAACATTATGAGCAGTGTATAACTTTTCTGAGAATTAAAAACTAAGTTACACTTTATTTTAAGGAATCCTCAATCTACGATATGCACTTTTATAGGTTGCTGTTTTGGCAAAGTGTTGTCTGATTCATGGTTGTTGTCTCACAGAGTGTGTGGTTCTTGTTTCTAAATGTATTGTGTATTGCTACTGGTGCATTTGTGTACATATTATCACCGGAGTCCTCCTCTGGAACAGAATGGGACCGGTGCACCTGGAACTACCTTAAAAAAGCTGCAGTGCCAGATAGCAGCACTGTAAACCAACACTCCAGGTAGGTAGAATAAAAGATACCTACTGGATGCATTACACGTTCACGCCATGTCATGTGTTCAGAAGTGCATTTTGACTGACAAAGGTGTAATCCACAGTCAGAAATTGGGGGCGACCCAGGTTTGTTTGAGCTGCGTTCACCTCTGTAAGCTCAGTCCCATAATATAACTGAAACACTAAAATATAAAGTTGGCTTCAATGGCAGGCTTGTTGCAAAAAAACACTGACAATTCTGTGGGAACTCAGGATTCATACAGAGAAGTTTTAAAACAAATAATTACACCCTACAAACCTGGGATCTGGAACAGGCAAATGCAGTACGCCACATTTGTAAATGCACACAACACTTTCAATTTAAAGAACCGCTCATCATTTCTGCTGCTGTGTAATGATGCAGGCATTTATTTAAGGAAAGGGAAACAATCAGACTCACAGCCAGCCGTGGGCAGCAAACAGGACAGTTTCAGTCACATTTCTGCGAAATCCAAAATGAGTCAACGAGGTTTCAATCGTATACGGAAATGTTTTTAATTAAAGATAAATTCATTAAACTTCAGCTTACTAGTCTGAATAACGAGGCTATTACAGAACGTTGTTTGTTTGGGTTTTGCTTTAGATTGTCCTAACAACACTCTTATTTTGTTATTTTTTTAAAAAGTGCATGACAATGATTAAGGACCAGCATTAAAATCTATAAAATAGTTTTCCATAAATCTCACAGCTACTTCTGTGCTAGGGACAACAGAGACAAATCTGATACTCCACTGACAAAAAACTGAAACCTTGAACTGATAAGTACTGTTATGCTAAAAATGTAAGCTGATAAACATAGTGGACTAATGAGGCAACTGAAGAGAGGGAATGAGGTTGGTTTTGAGATCAGACGTGGAATACTTTAGGAAATATTTTGATTGATTTCAACGATATTTTGTATTTTAATGATTATTTTATATGAATTTTAATCAGTTTTTTTTTACCCATTTCCATAAAATGACATGGCATCTTTATAATATCATGACTTTTTTCCAAACGCTGGCACCAAGTCTCAAAGCGAAGCCAAAGTAGGATGATGCATATTAAAAGTCAACATGTCGCTTTTATCTATTGTGCTGCTGTACAAACACTGTCATGCTTGTGAATGCAGCTTTCACATCTGAGAGGGAAAAGGAACAAGAACGTCTGGCTTTGATGGGTGTTTATTTTGACAGCTTCGTCTGAGCTCAATTTATGCATTGTATTTATCAACTCTGACACGCAGTACAGTACGACTGCTGTCAGATGTGCGAGCCGAAAAGTTTAGAGCGGTTTGGAACTGCACTTGTAATGATTTATTAGAATGAATGCACTGACTTTCAAAACCTCTACTGCTAAATTTCTGATTTTAGAATGTTTACACAAAAGCTGATCTGAGGGCATGTGCGGCGTATCCCTGTAATATTGTGTGTGCCGTGTGGTGACAGTCTTTTCATTACCGTAGCCCCAGAGCTGCAGGCACTGCTGTTCGTGGGTGAGGCACATGCCATTGTAGCAGTAGGCCACTCCGTACTGACAGGAGGAGCCGTCCAGCAGGTAGACATTGGCAGGACAGTAAGGAGATGCCCCGGTGCAGTACTCTGGCAGGTCACATGCCCCCGCTGGCCCCCGGCACATGGTACCTGCCTGCTTCAACTGGCACAGACAGGGAACAAGCAGTGGAGGGAGGAGGGGAGCACAAGACATGGAGATCACTGTCTGTTGTGTTACATCTCACAGAGACGATACAGAGATTCTTTTTGTATACAGTGGCCAGAATGCAAACACAAGTTTGTTATTATCTGAGTTGATTTGGTGTTTAACCGGGGTAAATCATTACAATCTAATGGCACTATAAAAAGCCCGGGGCCAGGTCGTGTTCCAGGACAGAGCTAATGGTTGGAACCTGGGGCTTTAGACACAATACAATTACAGTGCCATGTATATTACAACATTTTGCCGAGAAAGTGGGAGGGAGGGGGTGTCACTAAGGGCCCATTAGCTCATTTTTACTCTAGGGCCCCACAGCGGGCTGTTCTGGCCATTAGCAGAGGAAAATGGGGTCAAAATGATGATTTTAACAGTAAGCATAAGTAGCCAGATATGAACAGAGGACAATAGTATTATGGTATATTTAAGCAGTGGAATAAATCAACCTGCTGTATTAAACTATACAAGGTCAGCTTTGCTCAAATTTGAAGAACTTCATGTTGAATTGAAATGGAGCTCTACATTATAGTTTTAAAGGATATGTAAAATATTTCAAATATCTATGACAATGCACTTCAAATCAAAGAAATGAAGTCAAGTGTTGTAATCTCAGGTAAATAAAAAACATCTAAAATGGTTTTACCCACGAGACAGACTCAATACATTGCATTTTTTTTTGGTTAATATACTGAACAAAAATATAAACGCAGCATGTGATATTTTATTAAATTTGAGCTAGTCTATTTAACATAAGGGAACAGGTTAAAAACCACCTGGTAGACAACTGATGATCTCTCTGTTTTCCTCAGAAGCAACACTGTTAAGCTCACAGTTGAAAAAAAAAAATTCTATACTGAAAAAAAACACATAGAATGTAATATTTTATTAAATTATCTTGTTCTCATTTTTCTCCTGTCATCTTTAAAGCAGCATCATTTAAATACATCTCCATTTTAAAGTGCACTGGTAACAATATGGTACTTAAAAGTCATATCTAACTAAGAGGTAACGTAACACCATGGCCCAGAATTTTTCACCAACTGAACAACTTTAAAACGTTTAGTGCCCACTTGACTAGATTTAACTTTTCTTTTTTTAAATATGCCATAACAATTGGAATGAAATTTTAAATGGTTTCTCCACTATTTTCATGATACATTTTCTAGTATATCTTCTTTGTTGTGGATAGCAGAAAGACAGGACTTTAGTTGTCATTTCATTAAAGCTGCACTCATTATCTGATGGGAGCAGCAGAAAAAGCAGAAATATAGGAAAAGATAAAAACATTGCTTATGTGTGGACAATAATGTACCACCCAAAAACTCTTGCATTGCCACCGCAAGGCCATTAGGTGTGCAGAGGGGCGTAACATAAGCAAACAGCTGCATATTTATCCACACATTCAGCAGATATAGAGCACATGGTCATTTGAGGCATCGTTTATATAGAAATATTCTTTAGTGCAGCTTTAGGGGTCATTTTGGAAGGAAATAAAACTGACATCAGGTAAAATATGTGAAAAATATGAGGAAAAGTACACAAGATAGAAAATAGATATGCAGTATTATTTTGTTGTTAAAGAAATATTATACCCGCTAAGTGCAGTATGTAAAAAAAAATGATATATGCAATACAGTATACATCACGGAGAGGAAACATTTGTATTAAAAGATATAGAATTTCAACAGAGAAACAACAAGAGGTGAAACAGCTCTTCTTCTGCAGACGGCGCATAAGTTATTGCCATCTTCAGTGTTTTGTCTCTTCTGTCAGATTAAAGCTCAGTAGAATTTGGTTTCACAGTTCTGTGTATTACAATGGGATGTCAGGATCTGCATTTGAACAGCGAGATGAGAGCAGAGATGAAAAGTGCTGGCGTGATGTGAAGGCGACGAGCTGCGCTGTGATGGAAGCTGACACGCGCTGTGGGTACAGTATGTCAACACACTGACATGATGACTGACAGTGAACTAATGATACCGAGCTACTACTGCAAACGAGGTGAGCTCCCTCCTACGCCACGCTGCCTGCACATGAGTTTGTGTGTGCGTGAGTGTGTGTGTGTGTGTCTTACTTTGCAGCCCTCGCAGCACACTCCATGGGCGCACTGAGCCTCCTCCTTCAAGGTACAATTATTGGCATTGCAGCAGTCATTGGTGCATTCCTGCAAATAGTCAAACACACGCATTTAATACCGCAATTAAGGTTAAAACCAAATCCACACTCACACGCCCAATCCCTGTCCACCTGAGCTCACCTCTACTTCAACATATGTGCATCAAAAGGTAACATTTTCCAATAAATCTGTGGTAATCAATGATTTTATTGATGTTAATTGATCATATTGCTGTATAAATAAAGCGCCACTAGCAAGAACGGTGTTTGGGTTGTGAAAAATCTCTCGACCTTTTGAGTCATTAAATATGATCAAGAGATTCTCACCGTCTAACAAGCCACCCATTTAGCGGTTTCACACGTTCGTAGGACATTAATTAATAATAAACTTTTGAACTGCAACTAAAAATCTTTATTAAAAAAAATCATTAATGGCAATAAACCTCAAGTCAGCAGGTATAAAAGGTGGTCAGACATTAATAAAGGCTCCTTTATTACTGCTGTGGTAATACAGGCTTATTACCACAGCACTTAATTATTCATAAAAGGAACGAGGAGATTTAAATACTGGCATGCCATTAATGCAGCGTAAAACAACATACAAATGTCAAACATACAGCATACAACAGAAGTGAATACACCTCTGTGCAATATGACTTAACTGTTGAATGATTACAACCTGTATCACCTTACAGCGATTGCATTATTTCCAATTTGCATAGTAACGTACACATGTGGACAAAATTGTTGGTAGCCTTCTGTTAAAAAAAAAAAAAGAAAAACCCAATATTGTCACTAAAATAACTGACAAATGCAATAATAATAAATACAAATTTACTAAAAATTAACTTGTATAAATCAGACATTGCTTTGGAATTGTGGTACAACAGAATCATTTTTTAAAAAACAAACAAATGAAACAGGCCTGGACAAAAACGATGCTACCCATAACTTAATATTTTGCTGCACGACCTTTTAATGCAATCACTGCAATCAAACGGTTTCTGTAGCTGTCAGTGAGACTTCTGCACCTATCGATGGGTATTTTGACCCACTCCTCGTGAACAAACTGCTCCAGTTGTCTCAGGTTTGACTGGTGCCTTCTCTAGATGGCATGTTTCAGCTCCTTCCACAGATGTTCAATAGGATTTAGATCAGGGCTCATAGAAGGTCACTAGTCCAATGTTTTGTTCTTAGCCATTTTGGGATGTTTCTAGCTGTGTGTTTTGGGTCATTATCATGTTGGAGGACCCATGACCAAGCTTTCTGACACTGGGCAGCACATTTCGCTCCACAATGCCTTCATTGTCATGAGATTTCATTGTACCCTGCACAGATTCAAGACACCCTGTGCCAGATGTAGCAAAGCAAAACATAACCGAGCCTCCACCATGTTTCACAGTAGGTACAGTGTTCTTTTCTTTGCATGCTTCATTTTTGCTTCAGAGCTGATGTCACATGCTGAAAAGCTCCAGTTTTGTCTCATCTGTCCGAAGGGCATTCTTTCTACAAGCTGTGTGGCTTGCCAATATGCATTTTGGCAAATTCCAGTCTAGATAATAAATAATCAGTCATTAATGTTAGTAAGTCTAAAGATTTCTTTCAAATTCTACTGACTATCGTTACTTACAAAAAGTCCATTGAGGCAATTTACTGGAGAGTTCTTGATAATGAACCAAAAACACAAACTTTTTTACAGTGTGACTCATTAAAAAGCAGCTGTCATCAAACACACTTTTGCATACACACTTGTTCAAAGCAACAGAGGTTTGACAAGTGTGACTGACAAGTCACAATCTCAACAGATGTTGGTAGGAAGAAAAAAAAACATAAAATTAAAAGATGTGACTTTGCTGCTGTTCCCGTGTCATACGGCGTAGACAAAAACAACATCTCCCGTTGCCATGGTGCCCTGAGCAGAGCAACGGTTATGCTAAAAACAAATGTGGGAGTTGACTCAAGCAAGAGAAAGAAAAGCCAATTATACCAGCAGGAAAGAACGAAGAGGGGATTATGGGTGAACACAACAACAACAACAAAAATCACTAACTTGTTTGCAGAGTGATGTTCATTTGAACAGCAAGCCTGAGCCAGAGTTGCTTGAATTCTAAAACTGAAATGTCCTTCTTTGGTTCCACATGCACATTTGAAAAAACATTTATATTTTCAAAATAATAAACACATCTAGTTTTACAGTTTAAAAGTTGTGAAAGAGTTGAGTTCGGATGCATTCTAACTTGAAAAACAAGAAGAGGAGGGGGGGGGATTGCATTTCATTTACAATCTGGAGCGCCACACCCATATGTTTGTCAAGGTGAGCCCATTAAGCAGCGTTCTGTAGCTCGTCTCATTTGCAATGCTACGAACAGGTGGCTTGTCAGCAGCCCGTGCCTGACTGTCAGCTCCGCTCTGCGTGGGAGTCATAACAAGCAGTCCTCGTCAGCGCCGCCGCTGCTGTCAGCTACCAATTTGCTTCCTCTGTTTCAATTTGCTCTGCTGCTCGAACCAAAGGAGGTTTACTTAACCTCTGGCTTTATTGAGCGCAAACACTTCATCCCAATTTGAGGAAACTTTCAGCAATCTTTCAGCTGTGTTGCACAATTGGGATGCAGAGCGCATGAATGATGAGGCTGCGATGGCGGCCGGCTACAGAAGATACAACATCAAGGAAAGGGTAAAAATAGCTACATGCTCCAGCTATGACATATAAACAAATAATAATTGTTATTGTATTGTATTGTATTGATATTCAGTTGCAACTTCTGTCTACTTTGAACAATCTGACCACGACTGCATGTCTGTCTGTTGCCTTTAGCACAGTCAGCCATTTGACCGAGTAAATGAACAACATGGGCTTTGGTCAGGGAGGTGACCTAGAAGCCAACGGTCCCTTGATAAGAGTCTCAGAAGTTCTTGGCAAAGATGGAGAGAACATGCCAGACGCCAATCCCAGCAGCACTTTTTCAATCAGGCCTTTATCGTTAGACAGCTAGATAGAAGCTTCTCTGAGTACAAGGTAAATAACAGCATGTTGGAGTCTGCCAAACTGCATTTAAAGAAAAAAAAAAAGTCTCTGGTCTGATTAGACAAACACTGAAGTGCTTGAGTAAAACTCCAAGCACAACGTGTGGCAAGCAGCAGGTACTCTACATCACCAGATGAATCCCTACAGTGAAGCACGGAGGTAGCAGCATCACGCGATAGGGGGCCTCTTAGTTTCAGAGACAGGGATACTGGTCAAAATAATTCCTCTGAAAAAAATGGCACCTTTTTATAACAGAATAAGACATCAAAGGGTCACAAGATAACCATCAGTTTCACATTTTTGTGTTAACAAAACTTCAGTCAGGACGAGGTTTGGGTAGCTTAGCATTACGACTGGAAGCATGATGAAGGAACTGGTAATGGCTGAGAATCCATGGATAAAAAGTCTATAGGGTGCTCAAAGGAATAGGAATTTAACATTACCATGATACCACGGCAGCTCGTTCTGCTGAGGGAGGCTGTTAGGAAGCTACTGAGTGGATTTTTATGGTGAGATTATTTTGTCAACAGAAGGATGTTGTTTTCTATTCATTTTAGCACAGTGTGAAAATCAGCCGACAAAGTCTCTGTAAGCCTCTTCCATAATTCCATTTACAAATAAACGGAAATCAAACATTGTCTGAGGAGGTGTGGAAAAACGCCACAGTAACTAAACAAAAACCATATGATTCTCAAAAAAATAACATATGACTAGAATTTATTTGCAGATGCAATGCCAATTTTACTATTTGTAGTTGAGGAAGTGTGAACAAATACGAATGAACAAAGGTGCTCACATCAGGTTCTCCGCAGTCGCATTCTTCTCCGTCCTCCACAAAGCCATTGCCGCACTTCTTGCCCCCCACCAGGTCCTTCATGTTGGGCATGTTATAAAGACACATGCCCCCTCCTTTCTGGAAGTAGCTGTCCAGGTCGCGTTTACTGCAGCGACTAAAGACTCGAGGGAATGGGTGCCTGGACAGGGACAATTTTTATTTCACTTTTGGAAAGTAAACTTTGCAAAAATATACCAAGCATTAGAACTGCAGCCACTCGTTGATTAGTCAGTTTGTCAATTAACATAAAATGAATCTGCAACTGTTCTGCTTAGTTCACTGTTTGAGTCATTAGCAAAAGCTTCTTCCAGGTTCTTTATTTTGAGAATGCTTGCTGTTGGTTGAAGTCAACAAAATAATTTTCAGTTATATCCTGTTGGCAGAGAAAAAAAAATAATTAGCTGATTAAAAAAAATTAAATGATAGTTGCAGCCCTAATATAAAGACTAATCTTTTCTTGCCTTGTCTGGTACAATGTAACAGCAGTTTTCTAATGTTTCTACTCAGTGCTCTGAGGGTTTGTAGGACACCAAACAAGAGGATTTGTTTTGTTTCATTCGGTTTCTTAGTAATTCCATGAAGGAAAACATGGGAAATGCAGCTTTAATGAAAACTGTTGATTAAAAATCAATTATTACTGTGATGAAAAGTAGAAAAGTTTGGTGTTTTGATATCGGAGGGAAATCAAAACTCTCAAGTGACAAAAAGATTTCTTAAGGCAGCCGCATTAATATGTAATTTGTTTTCCCCTTTCAGCTGATGGAATTGTTATTCGTATGTCAAGCTGTTAGCGTCAGCATCTCAGCGCAAGCAGGTTTGTGCTGTAGCCTCATGCAACGCCTGAGGCTCACCCCGTGGCAGCAGCCATCACGCAGCCTCCCTGCTCGGCGGTGGCCTCCACGCAGCAGCCGTCGTGGTCGTGGCTCATGCCGAAGTTGTGGCCGATCTCGTGAGCCATGGTAGCCGCTGCGCCGATGGACAGCTCCGAGTGGTCCTGCAGGGGAAACGCAGATCTGTGTCAATTATGTGATTCAAATAACATGTGCGCACTGACAGGTATGGTGTGTTAAAGGAAAGTGATAGAGGAACAACTCAAAGCCTTTAGAGTGACTAAAGCACCGATACAACATTATAAAAATACTGTAACAATTCAAATTATTGTGAGCTTAGTTAACAATCTAATTGCAATTTTCTAATTTCCTAATGTTCTTTAATTGCCAATATTGCACAGGTGGAGCAGAGTGACCCAACGCAGACCAAAAACAGAATTTCCAGTCTGTATACTTGCCGTTTAGTGGATGGTTTATTTGATGATATGCAACGAATGAAAATACAGCGGTTTTCCGATGGTGAATTTGGTATATATCTGTGCTGGTCTGATGAGAACTGTTGGCTCTCCCCCTACCTGTGCCTTCCTCTTCCTGTCACCTGTGCCCTCTACATATACACCCTGTGTCCAATTACCGCCACCATGTGTCCAAACAATCCATATTAAATGACATGCCACCGATAAACATAAACGGCTCCTACACTAATTCTAACCTGACCTCTTTGGATCTCAAATAACAAAGAATGACAAGTTTACAGAACAACTGTCTCTTTGACAGCTCATGGACGACTGAAACGTGACAAAACTGAACAAACAGCATTTCATCTTCATTCAGTGCAACTCAAAATGATGTCACTTGTATTACAACAACAATTTCCAAATAACTGTATCACTGTATGTCAGTTTCTGTAGATTTATGACTAATAATATTCAGCAGTAAGATTATACTTCGACTACCCACTCTTGAAACACCCCAAAGAGCCTACGGTCATGCTCAATGTTCTGGAGAAGCAAAATGCTAATCTATGCCAACAAGCTCACAGTGACAATGTCAACATGAGATTTACACAATGGTCAATTACACGTGATCAAAAGGTGTGGATTAACTTTTAGAATAGGGACAGTTAAACTGGACACCTATAACCTTGGTGTTTGGTGTCTGCCATTCTAAATGTATCAGTCTGTATTAAAATGTAAGTTAAAACAGCTGAGCCTCTGGCTAAATGGCCCGTGGCACAGATTTTTTTTTCCCAGCATACTGCTGCAGGCCAACTAGTCTTGTTTTGGTCACTCACTCTCATTATTTGCTTATGCAGGAAACACTTCCATGTAGAAGTAGTACTCATGTACACTCATGTACAGTATAAAAAGCTTTCTATGTGGCCCTTCAATTGATTAAAATAATCTTAAAGTGTTGCTTAAAATATTCCATTTAAAAAAATATAAGATATTTATAATTTCAATTATACAAGACAAGCACATGAAAAATGCTTACATCAATATAGTATGTCCATGTAGTCTCTTTGTTTCTGTCTTTTTGCTGCAGGTTCTTGGTTGGTTCTGCATTGGTCATCATATGCACCGCTTTTTTCAAGAGTTCTTTAAAGTAGGTTACATCTCAACAGTCTTTAAGTCTGTACAAGAGCTTCAACGAAATCGCCAATGAAACATAAACAACACTGAAACTGATCAACAGATGTACAAACGTATTCTTTTTTGATATATAAAAAATGCATTTGTATCCTGTTTATACACGATTCTATGACAATAATACAAAATCTTTAGCTTTTACAAAATCAGTGTAAGCATTTTCTGGTTGGTCAGAACCACCTGGGTGTATGTGGCTGAATTTGAGGTGGTAGTCCTGTTAAAATGCATCTGGGGATGGGAACAACATCTGCTGAAAAATGGCTCCCGAAAAAAGTTCTGCTCGAAAAATCATACTTACTGGATGTAACTCCAGTTGTATGATTGTGTGTGTAGCCCTCTAATGGGCTTCCCTATTGGTTGTGTGGGGTGACCTGACTTAAGTCTGTGGTGGCCACCCATTGACTCCACCCTTGTAAAGAGCTTGGAGTTGCGGGTGCAACAAAAGTCTGGTTAAATATTCATCCTATTGGGCCGCCGCTATGGCTCAGTTGGTTGAGCTGGCGACCCATGTACTGAGGCTGTGGTCTACGACGCAGCGGTTGTGGGTTCGAGTTCGGCCCATGGCCATTTGCTGCAGGTCCCTCCCCAATTTTTCTCCCTACTTTCCTGTCTCTCTCTCTACTGTCTGTCAAATAAGGGCAGAAAGGCCAAAAAAAAACAAACTTTAAAATATTCATCCTATTTAAATGGAAATCTGAAACTCAAAATCAACGAACAACGGGAAGAGGAAATTTAAGAAGACTTATTCAGAGGAGCAAAATAACAGAAGTGTGAGAGAGCACACCTTGTAAACTTATCTCCACTGGACACACAGCTTTAGTAAAATCTAATTTTTCCACTATTCTCTTTTCTTAATGACAGCAACCAGTGAAAATTAGTCTTTTTGAGTTTTACAACTTATCAGCATTATAACATTGGCCAAGGCTCATGAATCCCATCCTGATGTTGCCTAGCAACACAAACAATAGTAATTCTGAGACTGACGAACTATATTTTACATTGTTTAAAATAAGAAAGCAACCAACTGGGCCAAGAGACCACCTGACTGCAATGTTACTACTTTTGCACGCATTTGTTCATAAGTGCTGCACGATTCAGAATCAACAATGTTATTTTAACATTAAGGTCTACACTAAATTTTGTGGTGTTCCATCCAATGGCTGTTGAGATATTTCAACAACCACTGAAGATATATCGGATATATCGGAGTCACACCACTGCTGTAGTTCATAATGGGTTCATAAGATGGTGATTTTTGCAATGCAGAATTTATTTATTTATTTTCCTTTATTTAACCAGGCAGGTTAATTGAGAACAGGTTCTCATTTACAATAACGACCTGGCCAAGAGGCAGAAGCATTTAAGCTTTTGTTAAAAGGCAACTCAACACTGAAACACTTAACCAAAAAATAAATACGCTGTATGCATAATCACTGCAAATGTTTGAAGTAGTTGGATGATGTAAACTCGAAGCTAAACTCCCAAAGAAGTAAGAAACAGCTACAGTGTCCCAGTTTCAAAGGTAAAAAAGTCAAACTCACAAGGATAAAGCTGCGTGAACACACACAGAAGTGACAGTATTCGTATGTATTTAGCTCCTCTTTGATCCGATGAAAGCTGTCATTCACTCTTAGCTCTGCTTCTGAATTATGCATACTGTATAAAATGGGGATGTGTTAACTGTCTGGAAATGCTGATGTTCTGCAGTGAAATCCTTCACATGCTATTTATTGCTCTGAGAGCTGAACCACAGAGGTAGTGTGTGCGTGTGTGTGTGTGCGCGCTGGGACTGTGCTTGTCAGCCACAGGACATTTGGATTCTACAGGCTGCCTCTGCCCACAGGACAGCTAAGACCCTATTAGAAGCTAATCAAGCTTGGAAAAGCTATCGATCTCTCTGGCCATTCAGTCCACTGCTGCACTCATATGTGGAGGCATACAGTTGAACAGGCTGAATGCTGCTACAGAGTGGATACTTTCAAGCTGCCACAAGGAGAGACTTGAGTGTAGCCAAGACTTTCTAGAAAAGGTCCTTAAGATTTGCTTAATGTAGCTCCACATTGTGCTGATCCTAAGCATGTGTAGTGCCTTTTCTCCATGAGATCAGCTCATTTAGTCAGGAAATAAAACTTGGCTATATTCAGATGTTTGAGAATAAGTTTATGAGGAAAATAAACTGAAAAAAATGACACCAAAATAGCAGACTACATCTTCCTGTATTTAAGGATGATTAAATGTTTATTTTTTAATCCAGGAATTTTCCTGTCAAGCAGCAATTGCTTTCGATTATCAAACGTGTCTCAACGTAACTGATCTTGACTTGTCATGGCGAGATATTTAATCTATTTTTCAGCAAGAGCTGACAGGAACCACGTCTGAAAAGTGGACTGCACGGCTGTCAAACTGATATCCCAAACATCCACTGAGAGATGACCTTGTTTTTTTCTTTTTTTCAAAGAGTCACACCAATCTTGAAACTAGGCAACACAAAAACAACCTTTTCCTTTTTATCCGTTCAAATCTGTTAAAGAGTAGTTTATATTTTGAGAACTAGCATATTTGCTCTCTTGTCCAGAATGAGACGAGTAGATCGACATCATTCTTGGGTCTGAGTGTAGCAAAGTAGCTGAATGCAACAAGAGATTAGCTGAGCTTACCGCAAAGACATACGGCGACGAGAAAAAGTATGCAAAGCCTTTGGAGTTTTGAAGGTTTTCTGCATGAATTGCTCATAAAATTGAATATGACCTTCAGTTTCTCAATGCAACATGATTTACGTATGGTGGACTCTGAACAGAGATGTTAAGATGATGGGTTTCTTTTTAACCCCATTAATCATTCCCCATTGTGCTGAGTCATCTTAGCTGGATTCCCACATCTAGGGAGCCACAAAACTAAATCACCTCCACTTACTGACAGTTTGTCTAAATGCGGACTGATGAATATCCTGTAGAAACTCTTACATTCTGGCTGTATACAGGTGTTGATGGTCAGTCCTCTAAAATCATTTTTGTTCTGAGCCATAGTTCACACCAGCAGATGCTCCTTATAAATAGCAAACTCAGAATGCCTGAGTGAATTTGATAAGTCAAAGCAGGTCATAATGGAAGAAAAAGTAATTCCAAAGAGTTTCTGTGCTTTCTGAGGACTTTATACTGGCCTATTCATACAACCAGTCAATCATGTGGCAACCATGCAGTGCATCAAATCTTGCAGATACGGAACAGGAGCTTCGGTCAATGGTTGCAAGAAAATGTCATCTCAGGGTCTTTGACTGTGTGGTCGTTGCATAAGGTACAAAAAAAAAAAATCTAAAGAGCCCTGCCCACTTTTTGATAAACGAAAAATGGTGTGTTGTAAGCTGATTGAAACTTTTTTCACCTTCTGAACACGAACACCCACTAGTGGGTTTGACAGACACGGTATCGTCAAAAGAACAAGTCACCAAAAATAACACCATCTGCCACCCAGAACCTGTAAAAACGGAGAGAATTGCCAAAGTCTTAACTCTCCAGTGGCCCTTGAACTAACCATTTGTGACACGCTAGTCTGTCTGGAAAATGTAAAAACTCACAAATAATAAACTATTTGCACTAGTTCTATGAAAAACAACAAAAAAATGGACTCAGCTGCAGCCAACATTCACAAGTGTTTGCCAAACTGCAGGTTGTTTTTTTGTTTTAGTAGGCACTTGTGGGCTCTTGAAAAAAAAATATTCCAAAATCTCTCAACTTCTAACCATGGTTGTGCTGTTTCCATGAAGGTGCAGGACTTTATATTGTGGGGAAAAATGAAGCCACAGTGTGAAGAAAATGTAACAGGAGCCAAGACCATACATCCACCGCTTGAAATTCAGAGAGTTAAAAACTCAAAACATCCAAGTCGAGTACTCCTCAGTGACATTTCAGTCTCATGTTTGCATTTTTAATTTTTATATCTGCTAAGCATCTTGAGGGCCATGGCTGTTGCTATCTTTTTTGCACAGTTACCATGGTTACAGGTGTTATTCTCATCCATCGCAAGGTTAATGGAAAAGGTTCAGTGTCTACGTCCCTGTTCTCACTACTGTTGTATACTCATTTACACATCCAGCAGCCAGAGCGCAACAGCTGCCTAAAGTCACGTTTGCATCCACCTGATAATATGAGTCCCTACTTTTAGCTCCAATTTAGTCTCCACCAACTTCTGAGAAGAAAATCTGCCTCTTTAGCTGCTAAATGCTACGCTGCGCTCTCTGATTGTGTCTGTTTGTTGTTTGGAGCTGAGTCGGGAGCAGGCATTGGATTTATCAGAGCGTCTTAATTGCAAACAGCTTCCTCCTGCTGCTGGACACCAGGTTGATGACAGCTGAGTGGAGGCATCTTAGCTAATAGAGGCTACAAAGCAGAGTTGCAGAGTTTGCAGATAATTCTTTATGGCCTTATAAGCGTTACACAGACATTTGATCTATTGTTAATATATAAATATCGATTGGTGCAGCCTTAACCTCTCGCCTCTATACCCTTAGCTGTCACCCTTTACCCTAATCAATTAATTGAATCTTAAAACCAAAATGCAAAATGTGGAAGTGATAAAAACAAGTCCACATTTTGGAGGCGGCTCTCAATACACCAAAACACAGACAATCGATAGAGGATGGATTCAAGCTGGAGGAAAAAGATTGAGGGGAAAAAGGAAAGAACAACAGATCAGGGAGAAGAAATGAGGAGAAATGTATTACCACGTACCACATTGATGCCTCCAGAGTTTTCCAGGCTGCACATCCCCTCCAGCGGTGCCATCCCAATAGTTGTCCCCTTGAAAATCACACCCCTATCACACACACATATACACAAACACACACACACACATAAGGAAAAATCACTTAACCTTAATCTCCTCCCTGTTCACTTACGGGCTCCACAGTGGATGCACACTGATTGCAGATGCAACAGCACTGCACAGCGGCAGACATGATAAGCCTGTCAGATGTGGGAGAGGGCGTGCAAGGAACCTCAATCTACCATGTGGTCTCCTGGCAGTTGTCACTTAGCATCCAAAAACAGAATCAGGCCCTGTCTGATGAATCAAAACAAAACAGGCCCTGTGGTATCAGCACAACTAATTACAGAGCATGAGGGGCCAACAATTTACTGCTTATAGATGAATGTGTGATGGTGCGTGTGTGTGTGTGTGTGTGTTTCCACTGCCGACATGCTGAGTTGTTCAGCCCAATTACAGCCAACTGAGGCGAAATCATCTGCTTAATAAAATCCCTGTTTAACTAATCATTTGTCAATTTATACACTAACAAAAATGGAATTATCTGACCCAAAGCTAGGGGTGTGTGTCATTAGAGCCATGCAGAGGCTCATCGGGAGACGGGAGGTTGGTGGCAGGATGTGGAGTTATTTCGCTTTCTTATTAGCTGAGGCACATTGTTGATTATCAAGCCACGCGTTAGTATTAGGACGGCCAAGAGCGCGCGGGTTCTTGCCCTGGACGAGAACTGAAGCAACTGATTTCGCTGATTAGTTCCTCCTGAGCTGCACATTCAGTGGAGGAATGACTGATCAATACTTTGAGCGGGGAATGCTCTCCATACATAAGTCAAGGCAGGACAGAGAGTTACTGCTGAGAGTTAAGTCTGGACACACCTTCTCATTCAAAGGTTTTTGCTATTCCTATAGAACAAGACACCAAAACTTTGAAATAAAACAACACATATGGATTTATGACCTAAAAAAAAAGAAAGAAAAAAAAGTGTGAACAAATCAAAGTATGTTAAATCTTAGAGTATGCTTTGATAACATCTTTCTCACATATGTTAAGCACTTGTTGGCTGCTATTCATTTAATCCAACTCATCCCAAACCATCTCAGCTGGGTCTCTGTGTGGAGATTGTTACACTTTTTTTTATTCATTTCATACTTCCATATGTGTTTAGATGTCTTGAGTAGGTGTGCTTCTTCTTTTTTTTTTTTTTTTTTGGCATTTTGCATCTACTTCAACTGGAGATTCAATTACTAAGGGCATGTTGCACCATGTGTCCAGCAAAACCATTCAGCCAGCAGGCTACCCCAAACTTTTGACTGATTCTGTACAAAACATATACTTTTGCTAGACAGGAACAGTTCAAGTTATTCTAAAACTTAAATTTACTCCCACATGAAGCTGGTTGAAAAAACTAAATATTGATTTTAGCTGCATTAAGCACAGTATAGGTGGCCAGTGAATGCAGGGAGACATTAAACAAAGGTTGGATGTTGGTTGTTGTGCCTCTTTTTTCTGTTACGCCGCATCCACCATAATGACTAGAAGATTTGTCTGTTTATGTGAAATTACTTGTAACAAGATAAACAGTGGTGTTTACTTCATCTATGTGTGATTCACAAGATGCCAACTGTGCATTTTCTTTCTTTTTTTTAACTAAAAAAGAACCCTAAGAAGAACATTTGCCCATGTTTGTGTTGCTGTGTTGGCTATAAATATGGTGAAGTTGAACACAGGCTCTGTCCGACACCTTGTCTACACTGGCCACACGGCTAAATAACAGGAAAACAGACTTGAAGAGCACAATTGCATTTACAGTCACAGACAAGAATGTAATTTCAGCAGCTGGTGCAGACAGCTGTAGCAGCAGCTGCCGTCCTCCCCAAGTACACCGAATCCGTTCAGCCACGGTTCTGCTGTGCAATCACACCGCGAGAGTAGCTTGCTGCTGAAATTTTGTAGTGAATTTATATTTACGGATTCATGGGAAATCATAATTTTGAAGTTTTACATGTATTGTTTTACAACCCATGGTGGCAGAAAGCCCTTGAATTGCATCACATAATGGTCACATATGGGAGTTCTCTGACTGTGCCACAGCACACTTTGCAGTAGCAGCTGGTAGTCAGTCTGGGAGCCTGTCACATAGTCTGCCTTTTTTCTTTTTCTCTCTTTTTTTTTTTTTCAACTTTATATTACACAGTTTTCTTCACAGTGTTTTTGTCAAATTGTGTTTATGCAGGCTGCAAAAAGTTCAGCCTGTCAGCCTCTGGAATGAAAAATACAGTACTCAGGAAACTATTCGTGTTCCCAAACCTCGCTGCTTCTGTCACCGAGTTGATCCCACACTCTTTCGCCCCTTTCTTTCCCTTTCTATCCTGTGGAACTCTTTAAAAAGGTATATAAGCCAATATAAAACTCATTCTTGCACATTTGTTTGTGATGTAAGCAAAATGCTGGCATCAGGTAATAAATAATACATAGATAATCACAGTTAGTTTTGCACAGTGTTCGCTATCTGCTGCTATTTCACCAAATCCCACCTGATAGTCCCAAAAGTATCAATCTGTCAGCTCTGATATCATGTATGTATGGATATATATGTATGTAAAAATTTACACATTTATTGCTGTTGAAATTGATCTAGCTTGGTTGCGATTCCATATGTTAGATTACATCCAGTTTCTCTCTTTTCCTGTCACCATATAAGTATATTGTACACGCTGATCACAGGGAGGGCCAGCATGGTTGTGCAGCTCCCTGTGGACTCTGAAGCGCTCGTAGTGCTATGAAGTTGTTTTCTTATGATGTGCTCCCTGTTTTGTTTGCATAATGGCACAACACACAGCTCTGCCAGTGTTTTCATACCATTTCAGAGATGTGCTGGTGCCGAGTAAATGTGGGTGTAAACTACACAGGATTTAAAATGTGAACAAAAAACAACATGATTCCTCGACTTTAATACTTATTTTTGGGTCACTAAGGGGCAATAGAAACAAGCTGTGTCAACAACATAACACATCATGGCCTTTTAAATTGATATGGAGAACTAGTGAGTAAACAGTTGCTTATTTACACATTAAGCTGTCATCGTTGGTAGTGACGTTTGTCCTTCTGATAATTGTAAACGCTGTATTCTATCTCCTTTTAGCTCTGTTTTAGGTCTCCTTCCATTCCTAAGAAAAATAGCTTTAGTATTCCACTCTGCTCACCAGCTACTGTTTAAGTTTATTTGTCTGTTGCTTGCTGGTGAACATGCATTTTAAGCTTTTCCTATGAGTGTCATGCTATGGCCTAAGACAACACTATGAGAGCGGTAACAGTGAATCCAAACAGTTGCGTTGCTTTATAAAGCCGATGGGAGCAGCATGATCCAGACTATAATTTCCTGTAAGTGCATCACTATTAGTGATTTCACATTATAATTTGATTCATTGCTCTTATAAAAATATTCTTTGCAGCCACTTTACACATAAAGTGTTTTCCTGGATGTAAAAAGTACTTTATTTTGATACAAGAAGCCTCCATAGGGTTCCTTTAAGTCAAGCGATGTAAAGGATCTCTGAGTGTGTGAAGTGAAGCCTGAGTAGTTACTTAGTATTTTATCAATGAAACATACTATTGTGTATGTAAGGTGCTTTTAGCACCCAGTCGCTCTTTTCAGTCCTGTCTGTCTGGTGAAGGAGCTTCAGTATTTATGATCAAAGCTGTCTACACTAGCATCATAGTAGCTCGATTTTTTCTTGCACTTTACACATTGCACTGACACCAAATGCATCTTGTGTTATGTGCTTTTACCATTAAAAACCTGGGACACCCCTGCCACTAAAGCCTAGAAAGACTGGACAAAACATACACCAAGACCGTTTCTACTTAAGGTAATTTACTGTCATGTATCCCACACAAGTGATGTTATCGGTCGTCAACGTCCGTCGCAACATGTTTGAAAAGCATCTTTAGGAGGAAGAAGACTGAAGATTAGAATCTTTACATATCACACATTGTTTATCTGTAATAGCAGCTGGCCCACGGTAGAACAGACCCAATGACCTAGACTGGAACAGATTCAGTCCAACTTTAGTATGAGCAGTTGTAAGACCCAAATTACAATCACAGTCATCTCATTAGTCATAATATGTGACCCTGACTTCACTTTGCACCTCTCTGGTTTGCCTGCGAGTGGATCTGTGGGTATTGGTAGTTGGTCTCTGGGGCAGAATAAATAAGACTAAGACCACCTGAAAAGCAAAAAACTGAACTAAAAAACAAAACAATGGTTTATATATTTTTTAAGACTAAATGGACCAAACCACAACTGTAAAAGTCTATTTTCTTTCCAACTTTCAGCACCTATGGCATCACGCTGCTTGAGTTTTTGCTTGCGCCTGCTGCAGAATTGCTTCTGACAGATCTCACTGATCCAGTATAAACACTAACAAAAGACTCCTCATGTTCTCCTCCTTTGCTACATAGCTGCTTTAGCTTAGGTGTGATTGTGCTTCTTACGTGAGCAGCTGGGCGTTGTCGTGTTTCTTGCGAGATTTCAGCTTTTGTCTCCACTGGAGGAAGGACCAGAGAGTGGCGTTTGGCTCCTCGGTGATGATACACTGATCTCTGTCGGTCCAAACTTCCAGACCAATTAGAGGCACACGGATGTTCAGTGCCCTATAGAACTAAATACACACACAAAAAAAACAAAAACAAATATGTATCAACACACACACACACACACACACACACACAAACAGGTTAGTCCGCTATCTTGTCATAACCTCCCATAATACAGTCTGGTCACACAAGACAATTTCTACCCTGTCTTCCATAAAAGGCTGTTGAAGGACACTATTGATTGAATCCTGATGAGACTTTATACAGCAGTAGATATTGGTGAGCACTTTTTAATCACTGATGATGCTCCCCATGCTTTCTATTAGCTTGTTGAATGGAGCTGTTTGTTCTCTGGAGAATAGGAAGTCAGTTGCAGGGGCACCCATCAGCCTTACCTTATCCACGTAATTGGCAATTTCCATTATCCTTGCCTTGGTCTTTTCATAGTCTTTATTCTGCCGTTTAAACTGCAGGACATTGGAGATAGTGGATGTTAGTGGTATGAATGAGGTCTGCAGTCAGTGAAATAAATAAATTGTCAGAATTAATCCATTTTAGAATTCCCTGCCGAGACTAATGACCCATGAAAACAACACTAGAACCCCAACTAGTCCAACTTCATCCATTCTACCTCTGTCCATCATCATAATTACACCAATTACAGATGGAGAAGCTGCAATCTTCTTATTCGTAAACATGTTCCGTTACCATGGCATTAACGCAGTACAGATAACCCGAAGTGAACTTTTATGAAGCTATAGCATCCCATAGGCGCAGAGTATAGTCTATTTAAAAGCCTTTTCCACCTTTACATTCCACCCACATCTGCTCCTTCATTATGCGGACATCCTTCTGGCTTGTCTCCACATGCTCTTGCCATGCTATGACTATTATGTTCGCTCAAAGCTGTCAGTATGAAAGCGTTCCATTAGCTTAAATTGGATAATTGTTTAAGAAGTGGACCATGTTTCCATCAGTGTGTCATTCTGTGGCTGGCTAATTTCAGTGGACAAATGGTATGATAGAGTGTGCCCTGGAATATTCTGCTGTGGAATGAGTTGGGTAGGCGGAGAGTCATCTTACCAGTGTGTTGTCTGCCACAATGTACAGTTCCATGTACTTTGTGGTACCCCAGGTGTTTCTTTTGACCTGACAATAAAGATACAAGGGTGATTATGAACAGGGCACCAGTTGTATTTGTTTGGTATAATGGTGAGCCAAAAATATTCTGAGCACTCACAGATAAATTGAATAACACTGATAATCTCTTAACAACGGCACATGTTAAGAACTGGGTTTTATTAGTTTGTAGGTGACAGTCAGCTCAGTCCAGTTAAGTAATGTGGGAAAAAACGTGCCTGTGTAAAGACCTGACTTTGATGAAGCCAAATGGCTATGGCTGGGTGACATGGCTGGGGCATCTCCGACACAGACAGGCTTGGGGGATACTTTAAGGAGTGTTGGAAGATGTTCTAAGACAATCTGATCCAAGACTTAAAGGATCCTCTTGGGAGCTGATAATACAGAGCACCATCAGAGGTTTTGTAGACTCCAGGGCGTTGGGGGTTAAAGCTGGTTTGACGGCGGGCCAAGGACCAGAAGCATATTAATCAGGTGGTTTTAATGTTGTGGTTTATGGGTGCACACTATACTGTATTTTATTGCCTTTTGAAGGCAAAGAGCAGTATGGAATCAGTTAGGTTGAAAAAGAAGGGTTTGTAGTTTGAACTGTACAACAGGTCAGTGAATTCAATAAGGTTGCACTTTATTTGCAGACACTAATATTTAATCTCTACCTTAACCAGTAGAATTCGATTCCCCAGTGAACCACGCTTTTGATACAATTCTGGCAGGAGTGTAAAATTGTGGAATTATAAAACTGATGCGAGGCACTGGTGCCAGTATAAGTGGTTCAACTAAACCAGGAGCCAGACCTCATTATTTGACCAGATAAAACAGGCTCAAATCTTACAACTGCTTAGTCTAAAAGAGTTAATAAAGAGGTGAAAAGTCTAATATGTGTGAGTGGCCTTCCAGTCATCCCTGCTGTTGTGTTTTCAAAGCTTTATGATTCCTTCTATCCCCTCCATCGTTAAGTTTCCACCCTCCTAATACTTGATTACAACCATTAGAAAAAGGCTCTGCTGTAATTAAAGCTCATTGATTTATGTGCAAAGGGAGGTGGGGGGATGTAACAGCAATGGCAGGGAATCAGCGATGCTGTGATTGCAGCCTGTGAAGTTCAGCACACACACATATCCACACTAATGCATTCACACATTGTTTATTTGAGACGCAAATAGTGGCAAAAGCCTTGGGACCTCAGGTCTGCTGTGGCTGGCATTTCTGCATAACAACCAAGGATTAATGGGTGGCTGTGGAGAGCCAAGGGGTATGATGCAGGAGGGAGGAAGATAAAGAAACAGGGGAAAAGGATGATGCCCTGGTGGAGAGCTAAGAGGGAACTTAGCATATGAGGTGTGGAAAAAGATGAAGCCAGTTTAAGTGACTGAGAACTTAAACTGGAAAATGACAAATACAGGCATAAACATAACAAGAAAAACCAAAGATTGAGAATTCGTTGCAGCAGTCTAAACAGATGAAGGCAGAAGGGCCCACTGAGGAGCCTTTTCATCATCTATAACTGCAGATGAGCAAATCAGACTGGTTTAATTCTTCTCTGTAGAGGCACAGGAAACTGATTCATAGCCATGACAAGCTGAATCAAAGCCACAATTCCCTCCATTTCCAGGTGGTATGAGCGTAATTCTGCTTCCTAAAATTGCACAATGACCTATTCAATATTGTTTTTGCAGATGATAAAGACCACTGATGCTGCAGAGCCAAATGTTCTGATTGGCGAACCAAAAGACGATTATGACTCAGTCCTTCACATTAGAGGTAGTACATGAATCATAACTATTTCTGTTTGTCTGAAATTCTGTTTCTCTGACAACAACACAAAGCTTGAGTGGTCCCATTGAAAGCCTGCGATGACATGAAGATTAGAGGGTGGCACAGGAGTGGATAAGTTAAAAAATAAATAAAATAAAATCTTGTCTTGTCCTGGCTGTGGAAGATTAACTCTTGTCTCATCCTGGACCCATGTTGTGTGGGTGTTTAGGCATTACCATGATTTTGATCGGATTTTCTCGACATCCCTTTCATTGATTACTTTGTGTTCTCTTGCACAGGTTTCTCTTGAAACACACTTTCTTAGAAAGCTATTTAGCAATACTGAGAACATGCGAGCATACCAAGAAACTCAGTAACAAGAAAATACAATTGTCAGGACATCAACAATCTCGACAATGCCTCCATTTTCAGCACCATTGTGGAGGAGCTCTTTCGCAACACTGATCCTTGCCCCTCTACAACAGTGGTCTTAAACAATGTGTCCTGTTGCACCAAAAAAACTGCCCAGCAATCCACAAGACCCAAAGGTTCAGCAGCCAGTGTCACAGTGGAGGACACCCAGAGACACCCCGACAGGTCCCTTGTCTGTGGCCAAACAAGTCAGAGCTGTTTTATGGACAGTATGAGGGAGACCAACCTAATATTACTTTTATTACACAAATAACAACAAAAAAGTTAAAGCTTATACAATAGCATAAAGTTTGAAAAAAAAATCCTTAAGCTCATTCGGATTTAACCATGATGCTGTGTTCAATATATAAAGTTACAGTGATTCCAACAGTTTTTTTTTTTTTTCTGGTGTTACAGATTCTTTTTGAAGGCAGGATTCTAGTGAAGTTGTGTGGTGAGGGAAGTTTGGACTTTGGTGTACTGCACACATTTAGAGTTTGAATCAATGTTAAGACTGCCCAGATTGTAGTGAAATTATCAGGGAAAAAAAAAGAAGCTGCATACTGTAGCTGTTTTTAATGGTGAATTCAATTTGGTTCAGTCGGTGTGCACATTTAGAATTCCTTAAGTTGTACATTTTTAGGCAGAAGTTTGAAGATGGCAGGCTCTGCTCTCTTGCTTTGGTCTGTATACAAGTGTGACGTCATCGTACAGCCACAGCACCCATCAAAGCAAGCAGATTTTTTTAAAGGTTTGTTAGCAGAGCAGTAGCACTAATACTTTACTGTCATTATCAGGTCTGTAGCTTGCCCTCATTTGTCTGACACTTCACTTCGATCTGCCCTTGTAAGACATAAGACTTGACCTGGACTTGACCTCAAAGATGTAAGACTTGGCTTGGTTTTAAAATCAAATGACTTAAAGCTTGGCTCAGATTTATCCCAAAAAACTTCAAAAAACTTTTTAGAAACAAGTCAAAAGACTTAAAAAAAATGTCTTTGGTACAAAATGTCTTTTGCCAGTATTCAATGTAGAAAATATATCCAGTTATCCCCAGCTGTCAAGAGTGGAAGCTTTTGAAACAGAACTACAAGGGATAGAAAACTCTGCTCTGAAAGCCAGACTAATGAAAGTCTTAGATGGGTTAACAATCCACTTAAGGTAGAGTTAGGGCTGTTTTATTAGAGGTTTTCCTAACTGACATCCCTGAAGATGTTAAGTACAACCCTTCAACACCACACTTCAGGACCTTTACCCAGATGTCAGATGTGACAATACTCTGAGTGAAACATAATCATCCACTGAACAATATCTGGGGAAATACACTTGTCTTCGGACACACAGAGATGAAACTGTTATTGATCTTCTCAACAAAAAAGTGGGTCTTCCGTTTCTTTAAATAGTATTTAAGTATTGAAAGGAGACCAACTGAATACAGTCTGACATTGTATTTGTAACAAAAGAGAGCCATTAGTGTCTGGGAGACTCACCCGTGAATGAAATGGTCTGAGCAGGTTGGAGATATGGTTGAATTGTGTGGTGTGATGGCCGTGGCCACAGTTTCCACCTTCAACTGGCAGTTCCTTAGCACTCAACAGTGAGTGGTGCATTGGATCCACACCGCTGATTGGCTCCAGGTAGTAGGTGTCACTAGAATTCAAGGATATCAGGCCCCTGTGAGGAAGGAAAAAAAAGTATGAATGAGAGATGTCAGGCTATTGAAATTGAAAGAAGCAACACGTAAGAATACAACTTCCAGGAATATTTAAAAGGCAGGTAGAGGGCCTGAAACAGTAAGTCGCATGACATACTGTTGTTTTACAAAGGCAGGCCTAATTTACCAGGATGTAAAAGTGCAATTCTCAAATCTTCAGTTTTTGTGTTTAAAATTAAAGAGACCATATCATGCACATCTACATGTTCATAATTTTATTTTGGGGGTTTTCTAGAATATGTTTACATGCTTTAGTGTTCAAAAAACACATTATGTCTCTAATACTGTACAATGCTACAGCACCTCTTCTCAAATTCTGATTTCAGGTCCTGTCTCTTTAAGGCCTGTCCTAAAAAGCACAGCCTACTTTGATTGGTCAGCTGGACTATTAAAAACCAGGCATCACTAGTCATGTACCATAACACCACATCTATCAGTATAGCCAGAGATACGTAGCCCAAGCAGAAGTGCCTTCATTTGAGGGGCTTCTTTATATATGAGCAGCCTCAAGGTGTCAGCAAGCTTCAAATATAATGCTTGGTTTTCTGGAACTCCATATGTAAGGGCCATCTTTGAGTACAGAAGAGGTGTAAATACTTTCGCTTTCAGATGGGACTGGTAATTTGTACTTGAGCTGATGTACAAACTGGTTCTATTCAAGCATACCCAAGCTTTTCTGCAATGTGAGTCTTGCTTTGGAAGTTTGAGTGATCCCCCTGAGAGGATACCGCACTGCTTTCCTTGACCTGAGACTTATCAATTTTGTTGCCAGGTCTGCCAGCTCCACCTGTCCAACTGAAATGCTAAGTTCTGAGAACAGGGTGGACAGAATGCACATAATTACTAGATGTAAATGAAAAGGTCACAGGGTGAAACGTCAATATCTGTATGTCAATCACATGCCAATACTATGTGGAAATGGAGTGTTATTAATAAAGGTTGGTTCATATGAAAAATGACACTGATACAATCTCTGATCAATGAAGGAGAAAGATGAAAAATAAGATTCCAGTCATGTAGTTCAAGTTGAGTCGTCTGTGCATGATTACAGTAGCAGTAATAAATAGTGGAGAGCAAAGACGTGTCCTCGGCAGCAGAAAGTGACAAAAAGGCAATTTCGAGCAAACAGAGACAGTCTGCAGCAGTGACGGTGTTTGGCACTATGTGTTTAAATGTGTATGAGTATTTGTGTGAAAGACAGGGGAAGAGATGGAGCCTCTTGTTTCATCCAAAAGAAAATCTCAGACATATCCAGTGTATGTCTGAGTTTTACTCTTATGACGATCTTCCACCGACTACATATATTCATGAAACCCTCATCCATCACTGTCTCAATCCCAGAAGATGTTTCACCTCTGACTACTGACTCATAACTCTAATCTTCTACCAGACTCTAGAAGAAAAAAACTTGAAACCCCCCACAAAAAAACTGACAAAAAAACAAAACACAAAAACAAAGAAATAACAACTATCCTCACATCGAGACCTCATTTTTCGTCCATTTTTAGACACAGTATGCTCCATTTTTCACTGTTTCACAAACTTAAGTTTGGTGAAAACAAGGACTGGTTTTTCTCTCTGAGGGGAATGAATGACTCTAGCTTGAGGGCAGTTTGCATTAATTCTCCAAGTCTGTGGAACGCTACTGGAGGGATGGAACAGCATTCTTACGAAAGATATTTCTTCATTTGGTGCTTGATGAGAGCTGTGGAAAGGGCTATCCGACATGCTGGTGCAAAATGTTTAACAGGTGAATATTGTGGCAGACTGATATAAAACTGTATCATCTGTAAAAAAAAAAAAAAAGGATGCTGAAGGACTGATTAGGAAGAATGAAGTTATATAGTATATACCGGATGTATGAGAATTTCAGTCTTGATTCATCTTATTTGTTAGAAAGAATAAGTAAATAAGGTTGTATTTATGACCTGATGTCCAATGTCAGTGTTCTGTATTCTATACTCAGCTGCAAGAACTTTTTGATTGGGATAAAATAAAGGACTGAGAGCCACTACCTAGACCTGCTAATTGAGAACCTGACTGTCAACACTCGCCAACACTGTCAAAAATCCTTGGCTGACCTCGCTGTGATATTAGGACTAATACTTGGTGACCACAGGTACATCAGTAGTTGCATATACCTATGGTCAATAAACTGTATAGGTAATAAGAAATGTCAAAGTTATGTTTGAGTTCATCCAGAGAGTGTATCCTATTCCATGCATTGAGAGAACTGACTATTTTTTGAGCTATTTTAGGCCTACCTAGTTTATATTTAGATACTTACATCATATATATATAAGCGTTACCATTGAGGCAAACACATTCTAAGAACTCTTAAACCATGTGGTCCTTGAATATTCATAGCTGTCCTGACCCTGAAAAATAATGACTCATGCAGACTCTGCTCATTGTGGTTCAATATAGATTTGAAATTTGCGTGAAAACTATTTCACCTTGCCTCTGAACATTTTGTCAGAGTTGCTATTTACTTCACAGCAGACACAATAGGCACAAAGGGAATCAATTTGTTTTTTTGTGAAAGGAGTTGCGCTGGCTATTGTGTTCATCCTCGCTGCCTGACCATATGAGCACCATTGAGCTCTAAGCCATGCTTTCAGAAAATACAGTAGGTTTTTCTTTTTTTTTTTCTTAGGTAATTATGTGTCCAAGGCTGTACAGCAATTTCCCCTAAAATCGTGTAATTCATCCTGAATCAATACAAAACACCTCATTATGGTATAAAAGTTGGGAACTGTGGGGCAGGAGAGAAAATGAAAAAATAAATTATATATATAACCCACGACTGCTGGAGGACTGTATATAAGAACAGAGGTCAATGCTGAATCGGAACTAAAAGTTCTGATCCAAAACTTTGTTATCCTGGCAGAGAGCTCCGCTAACTGGCAACTCTTGCAGTCATGAGGTTTTGCATAATCATAAGTTCCCTGTGAGTACTGCATAGTCATGCAGTTTGGGAATTCCAAAGAAAAGCCTCAAATCCACCAAGAAAATGATGAGGGCATTTCATACAGCTCTGCAGTTGGAACATAATAAATAGGCTCATCAAGGTACTGCTTTAAATGTCTAATGCTTTCACACAAATCCTATGTGTAGAGTATGGAGCACAAGTGAGTACATCCCTGTGAAATATCTCTTAAAGGTCAAACGGTTATAAATGGAATCATGTCGTAGAAATAACATTCTGTCGAAGTTGAATAGTAGAGCTTTTTTTTTTCTTACAAGCAGTCAAGAAGAAGCACCTGAAGTGGCAATTTAATGCAACAGAAGTGAGTACAGTTGTGGTCACTGACAGACAAATTAAAAAAATAAATTGTCACTACCAAACTGAATCACAATTGTGATTTCTAATTAACCGACATGCATGTACATAGTTATAAAATGACCTGCTAACACCAGAACTTTCTCAGTTTTGGACCTATGGGTTGTATCTGTATCTACATGTATGCATCATGGCTCGACATAGAAAATAATTGCTAGAGGACTTTGCAAAGATGGAAAACAATACAGAAAGATCAATGACCAACTAAAAATGTATCAAAACACAGGAGGTGTTCAGGAGGTACAGAACAAGGCATCGCCCCACTAATCAGAGCTGTAGTGACCTCCCTTCTACAGTGATGTCATGGACATTGCGCAATCTAGCTTTGAAAAAACAAACAGGCAAATTGTTTCTGTGGCAGTTCATTGTGAAAGATGTCAACCCGAACAGACGGCTTTGGAAGAAACTGCAAGATCTCACTTTGCTAAAACACATGAAAAGAAGCCTAATGACTAAAGGCTTGGTCAGATAAGACTGAGGAGAAACTGTTTGCCTCAGATAGAGTCCAGCATATTTGACGTGAACTACCAGAGTGAACGCTTAGTGCTGACAGTGAAGCACAGAGGTAGGATTGTGATGACATGGAGGTGCATGTGTGTAAAAGTTGTTGGAGAGACGACATTTATAGATAGTAGCATGAATGCCTGTGGATATACCAAACTACTAGCTGACAAGATGACCTGACCAGGTATTTCACCTGACTTGAATCTAACAGAACATCTTTCAGGCATTTTAAAGAGAAACGCAGTGCAAAACAAGCCTTCTAGCAAAGAGCAGCTAAAAAAAAGTCTCTGAAGGATGGCAGAGCGTACAAGAGACATAAAAAGTGCTGAAAAAAATAAAAGATTTGAATTTTAGTAATGAAAGGCTTACTGACTTGCACTGAATTCCGACTGTGTGGCCTGCATTTTGAATATAGTAAATCTTAACTGTTAGTTTTTTTCTATCAATGAGGTCACATCTTTCTGTTCAACTTAGTCATGAAGAGATATAATTTGTAATCCTGCTGGGGTATGTTCACTGTTGTACACTGTATAGCAGAAATAAGGTCAGGAAACAGTGTCATTTTTCTGATCAAAATCAAGGACATTGTCAGAGCAGTATTCATCATCACATCGTCACGTCGCCGTCTCGTTAAAGATGCTATTGATTCATTGTTTATGATAAGACTGTTGCCGAGCAGAGGTAATGGTGAAAGATGTCAGCACATAAAAAGTGACCCCTGTCAGAAGAATACACTTTCTAGCCTCAAACTTGGCTGATTTCACGTTTCCTGTTACATCTGATTGAGGTTATCACTTTAAGCTCAGGCAATTATTCTGTCTCCCAAAACATTTACACTCCATTTTAGCACAAGCTTTTGTCCACAGTGATTCATAACGAGGTTAAGGGAAGAGTAAGCTTTGATTGTTTGATCGCCACAAATTACAAGGAATGGGAATGTTAAGACTTTAAAATAACTCCATAGTACTCTTTTATGAGTCTGTGAAGAGCATACAAAACAAGAGCAGAGACAGGATGCCTGTTTTTTTCTTTCTGTCATTCTTTCTTTCTTTCTTTCTTTCTTTCTTTCTTTCTGTCCTTCTTTCTTTCTTTTCAGAACAAGCTGAGTGTGGCATTCAGTGTGAGAAGGTGTGATGATGTCATCTCATGTTGCAGATTTTCATAAAATCTGAATCGTGTCTACCTAACTGTGATTTGTATTTTGGGCTCAGTTGTTAAGATCTTATTCAAAACAAAATGGAATCTTTCAGTATAAAATCGAATGTCATGATATATTGAAATAATTTAAAGTTCTCTCATGGTCTGGAGGGCTGACTACTCTTTTGGCTGTTGATAGGGTTCTAAAAAAACGTCTTTCAAATTAATATATTTGTCCAGGACGTACTTTATCCTTTCTGCCATTTTACCTCTACATCCCTTGAATGGCACCTAATAGCTTCATATAATCCCGGTTTGTTGTTTTGGTCCAAGAACAAACTCGTGCTGGTCGGCTCACATTTGGACAGCTCTGCGATTGACTGGACATTTAAAAAGGCATTTACATTCTGCTGGCTTACAGATCTCTATTCTCCCCCACGTCTGCTCTGTTCCCATCAAAGCTGCTGTCAACAAGCAGAATCTGGCTACCTGCCCAGATCAGGACAGAGGGACTGAAGAGTGCCGACGGACGTGTCAGCGCTGAACCAGCCACTATCAGATGGAAAAATATAAACATTTTCTAAGAACGGGATGAAAAACTTCTTTAAACTTTTATCTGTTTAGCTTTACTGAGCAGGCTTTTGAATTAATTCCTACTAAAGCCCCACTGAGCTGTAACTTTACGTCTCTTTTATTGGATCAAATTCATGAATATATATTTTGGGACACACGTCCTGAGGATGTGCAGCATCTTTGCCAGGAGAAAGCTTCAATCTTCAATATTCAAAGTGTTCTGCATTAAAATCTGTCAGAGGCTGTGAACATTTAAGACTTTTAAAACTTCTGCCTGGATCCCCGAAAAGGATCAAATGACTCATTTTCATGACAATCTGAAAAAGAAGGAACGAGACGCAGAGATCTGACAGTGCAAGTTGAACTTTCTCCGGTTTGAACAAAATTTTATCCGGATGTACTGAGGGCAAAGATCAGGCTCACTCTTTTCAGTCTGCTACTGACATTAAAATGAAAAAGACACACATAGATGAAAAAATTAAAGGAAAAATCCAAATCCTAGAACCTGCTGTGAGGGGATCTGGTGACTCTGTTATTGTGCATTTGGTGGTTTGGTTGTCCCTTAAGAAATAGTCACTCCAAATCAATACAAAGTTCTCCTGAGTGATCATTTTTATCCAGTGATGAAACATTTCTATCCTGATGAGAGCGGTCTCTTCCAGGATGACAGTGCCCTGATCCACTGGGCCACTGAATGGTATAGCCTTTACAGTCATCAGATCTCAACCTAACAGAACATCTATAGAAGAAATTTGAAAATATATTTTGGAAAAATGGTGTTCCATCCCTCCAGTAGAGTTCCAGACACTTGAAGATTCAATGCAAACAAGCAGTGAAGCAGTTCTGGCTAAATGTTGTAGCTTAACACCTTACTTAAGGCATGTTAAGTCCTTTAGTTTGTCACCCATTTGTATGTTTTTGCCTTCTACAGATCTAATCCAGGTGATGGCCGTGTAGCTTGGTTTGGATGACATTTTATACAGTAGTTAATAAAGGTAATATTTCTTCCAGATAACTAGTATTACAATTTATTATTTGATGTCCAACACCTTTCTATAAAAACTACTCTTCTCACTACTTAATGATGTTAATCAGTCACTTTATATGGACTTTATACTTCTTCAAAATACCTTCTACAAACCCATTTATTGGCGTTTTGCATTGCGAATGCAAGATCAGTCAAGTGTTACTACTGTTAAAGCGAAAGAGTGACACTGAGCTCAAAAACTGGCTGGCGGTATGTCACTCCCAGTTTAGTGGCTCATTCTACAGTAGTCAGTTGATGCTGTCAGATGGCACGTCGCTGGTATTCCATCATCACAGCCCACTTTCTAACAGCAGGTCTCACTTGATGCTGGTAGGTCACTCCTGGCTGGCGATTAAACTGTCACAGCAGAGTGTAATTGCAATGCCAGTAACATAGTGTTAAACCTAGTACTGTAGTACATGTTAAAATATATATTTAAATGCTGTCTTTATTGACAAGATAGAGCAAGTAAATGCACTTGCAATAACGCTGTCTTTGGGTTGAGACTCTTAAAAGCTTCCAGTGTTAAAAATAGTTTGATTTCAATATTAATGCAACAAAAGCTTAAAACGCTGCATTATATTAATAATAGTGAAGCAAGCTATGATTGGTCGAGCTACAACAGCCATAACATAGGGGAAGAAGTATTTATTGTTCCAACACATAACTTCTCAAGAACAGATTAGCTGTCTTGGAAAAAAAGAAATATGCACTGTATTGGAAATTATGATGACAGATTGAGGTCGTGAACTAGAAATCACAGGTCAGCAACGTGCATGTCAACCATTTTCATTGCATAGTGCTGCACATCTTGGACACACAGAGTTACTGAGGCTGTTGTCCCAATCTTCCTAAAAGGGAAATTGGTAGACATTTTGGAAGGATTACATTTTCAGGCCACATCCATCCATAGGTGTAATTTCTGGTGAGCTGATTGCAAATGATCTCTCAGATGGACGACCTGCATGCGAGGATCCTGTGCTTGGATTGGTCACGTGTCATCGGTGATCATGTGACAGATCGTCTGTTGTAACTGATGACAAACGGCGGAGTTGTGGCCGTTCAAGTGCTTGGCTACAGCCCTAAATGACATGTCAGTTTTTAGAATGCTAACAGCCTGTTCCTGTCTTTCTCTTGTTATCACAACAGCAGCCTCATGGGAATTGGAATGTGCCGCTGCAGGAGTGGCAGGTATATGGAATACAATATGTCTTACAAATTTCATTGGAATTATGATAGCTTGATTGCCCGCAAGGTGTGAGATGCTGTTATGAAACAGTATAAGCCACTGAAGTATGGTTTGTGACAGTAGAAGAGAAGCAACATGAACACCAGCATACCTCTGTAAAATCAGCATTGAATCAGGAGTGACATACCATGAGCCACTTTTCGATCTAGGTGCTGGTGTAGACAAGTTGTGTAATCCATCATGTACTAGAGGCACAACACTGAAGTCATGTTTTGTATCAGCTGATCGGTATCAGCTGTTTCACTAATGCATCACAGCGGAATTGCACAACCATGCACTTATGTCAACACCATTCACTGCCACAGCTCCCTCCACCGTTCTAACCTCAACCTTGTGCATTGCTTGCTTGATTGTAGCCTCGTTTGACATCAGCACCAAATGCTGTCCTTTCCTTCCCCCTTCCTTCCCCCCCAAGCACAGAAGTGAAACCACTATTGTCTTGTTTTGTCCAACTATCAGATCCCAAAATCTGAAGTTTACTGTAATGTAAAACATAGAAATGCAGCAAATTATAACATTCTGCAGTGCAATGAAAGGGAGAAGCTATTCTTCTCCCAGACACATATCTGGATATAATCTAAAACTCTCAAAGCTCAGAGAATGGGTTTTCTACAGTGGTCTACCATGGCGGTATCAAATTGACTTTACATCTTAAATTTTTAAGGTCTGTTTGCACAAGAATTAGGAGTTTCTGTGACAGTTTGTCTAGGCTGCCCTGATCATGTGAAAGGATCAAAGCATGCAGGAATAACTATATTTGCATAATATGGAAAAATGGTTTCTCATTTGTCTAAAGTGTTCCCAGCTGTATTTAATGTTTTGATGTTCCTTAAATTATTACACTAAACATATTTAAGTTCAGTAATTGTATTCAAAATGACAGAAACACATGTGTTATAGTTCAACAGTACTGAATCCTCAGCTGCTGACTGTACCTGACTCCTGAGCATGTGCTGAGAGCGACCCAGGAATCTGGATGTCCTCTTACATGGCCGTGGTAGAAGCAGTGATCCTGTAAGAGAAAAGAACTGGAATCAATACTTCATATTTCATTGGGAGGAAAGCTTTACAAAGCTATGATAATGTTTATCCAGACATGCCCCTGGTGCAGCCAGAGCAACAATCAATTGATGTGATGGATCGACTTGCTGCTCTAAGTGTCCCCAAAGCGAATCATGTCCTGTTTCATGACAACAGCAGCCGGTAAAAACACTGCCTGCAGAATTGCAACAACCGCTACGACGAATCAATAAAGCTATGTGAAGCTTCTCACAAGTTGGGAGTCTGGCCGCTCAAGCATCCTGATGAGATTTTGAAATGAATTAATCAGACTTGCAACAAAAGAAGCAGAATATGAAGAACGCTTCGCTAATAGGAAAAAGGCAAGCTCCCTGAGAGTGTGATGAACATGTGTATAAAATCAAAGCTCTTCATGCGCGACTGGAGCCCATCACAGAGAGCCAATAACTCCACACTGCCTGATAAACATGAGCAACATGTTTTTCATTTAGATTTTTACTCTCTTATTTCCTTTGAGATGCACATTACGACACAAATTAGTGCAAAAACATACAGTGCAGTCATTTATAGTCCATTTGGTGCTTAGCTTTCTTTCACTCTAGGAACAGGAGTCTGGGTTTAGAAAGAGAGCTCCTTGGTTCAGTACACTGTATGATCCACACAGAATGTTCCACCCAGTTCCACCTAGAACGCTGTTGCAGTGGGTCACTTGTTGCTATTGGCTATACCATGCTTTTAAGGGTAGTTTTGAAAGCGGTGCAGATTTTTCAAAATAAATGACAGAAATGTTAATTGATGCATTTTTTTCTCCCGTGTCTTACTGACAACACACAAACTGTGAATTCTGCCGATTGTTATACACGCAAGTTATAAAACTTATCATGAACACCAATTTGAGTACAACTGTGTCGGCTAATCAGTCTAGCTGTATGAACATGCTTATAAATTGGACCTGTTAACACCAGAATTTCCTCTGTTTTGGACCTAGGAGCTGTGTCTATCTAAAAATCTAATCTGGATCATGGCTCCATATGGAAAAGAATTGCCAGAGGAACTGAAAAAAATTGGATTGTGAGCCTTTATAATGGAAAATGACACAGGAAGATCAGTGACCAAGAAAAATTGATGGAAACACAGTTGTAGCCATAATCAGGAGGTGTCGAATGAGCCATAGTAACAACAATCCGAGTCGGAGTGACCATCCTCGTAAAATGATGCCATGGACAATGTGCGACTTTCACAACCTAGCTCTGAAAAACAGATGGGCAAGCACATCAGACTTATTGTCAGTAGAGATCAGAGATTATGTAACAGCTCAGACAGTGTGAAGTTGAAAAGGATGGTACAAAACTTCCACCCCCAGGACCATTACAGTGAGTGCATAGTCCTGACATTGAGGGAGTGTGATGATATGGGGCTGCTTGAGTGCAAAGGTTTATGGGGAGATTGCATTTATAGATTGGATCACTGTGGATGTGCAAAAATACTAGCTGCCAAGATGACCCCCAGTCTGCAGAGGCCTGGCTGAAGAGGAATATGATAATGATCCAAAGCACACAAACAAAATCTGAAAAATTTCTAACAAAGAAAAAAAATATGATCTTGCCAATTGGGTGGCTTGAAACAAATAGAAAACCTTCGAGATATTTTAAAGAAAAAGGTTGACCTTTGTTGCATTAACCCAGTGTGGAGCTTGTGTTTTTTTTATATAGTAAATCTACACTGTTAGTTGCTAGATGCTAGATTTTATTTCACAAAAGAGCAAATACCCTACTGTTCAATTTAGAAGTAGCGCGATTACCATAAGGTGGTATAACTTTGAATATTGCACAAGAGTGACTTCTGTTGTTGCCAGTTGGATACAACAACACTGGAGTTTGATTGTGCAAATGTTGCTGTCACCCAGAAAGGATTCACTGCTCTATATAAACAAGGCCAACCTGCAGTCATCCAGAACGCATCCATTCTTCTGTCTAAATAAGCTCAGCCTGATGTCCAGAAATTGTGCTCTACAACCTTGTGCAAACAAACATGTTGTGTTCGCCCAGGAATTATCCATTACCCTCTATTAACGGGTACAAGTTGCAGTTGTCAAATAAATGTTATTATTGACACACTGACATTTGTCTTGACTCTGGTATTTTACTGACCATGTGCCACCATTTGAATGCGTAATTTCTACGGTGAGAATATGTCCAGACAGCATAAATTTAATGATGGTACCTTTTGTTATTTGCTTCTGCTGTCCTGAAAACGTACTGAACTGTGACCTCAAAACCAAGAAACATACAGAACTGTGTGATTCTCTCTGTGCTCTTCCACCACAAATGAACTGTGGGCAGAGGGGAACATGCAGACTCAAAATTCTGCCAACTTTCCAGGGAATAAACAAAGGCTAAGGTAACAAGAGATAGTTATTTCTTAATATTTTTTTAATTAAAAGCAGACAAGTTGCCAGAACACCTGCTTCATTCTGTTCACTACAGTGTTCTAACTGGTACAAAAAGTGGGGAGGAGAAAGAAAAAGATTGAGAAAATTAACAGTTTGAACTCAACCTTTCAAGTACAAAGGTATCACACCTTTCATGATTTCTAAAAGCAGCTCTGCCTATGGGCCTAAAGACCTACTGTTAATGTTGAAAGAGGATTTAGCACCACAAGGTTTAAATTATGCCTGCATGTCGATTTTGGACTATTCAAAAGTCTCTGTCAGCTCATCAGAGCGTGAAATGAGCTCTTTCATTTGAACAGCAGCAGCAGCAGTGAGTGCTCTGTCAGAGCCAACATACCAATCAATTGTCAGTGAGAACTCTCCCTGCCAGCCCCCAACAATCGCTCTTGTTACATGTACAGGATGTGATGTGGATGAAGCGAAAGAGGACTGGCCTGCTAGGAATAACCTGCCATCTGTGCAGATCTATGGTGTCAAAAAAAAAAAAAAAAAAAAAACACTGTCATGCAGGGACACGAGCCCATCTGCATTCCAAGCTGTGTGACCAAAGTTGGTTCATCAAACATGTCTGCAGGAGATAATTTAACTCTGCAGGGTGTACAGATTAAATTTTGTTTGTTTATTCCCTTTGGGGCAATGACATGTTTGCTTCTCCACTTTTGTTTTCTTTGACGCGACCATTCATGGTCAAAGTACTATCCCAATTCAAAGTCTACACCAGCCATGGTGGCACTAAATTCTCTAAAGTGTCCTCTAAAGCTTTGGAAGCTGGCTGATGTGAACTTGAAGAACTGAGGCGTATTTACCAACATCACAACTGTTAGACTGAAAATATGGGACAATTATATCACAAGAATATCTACTTAAAAATGATTTTCAACACCTTTGGGTAGGTGAGGACCTGCTAGGAAGGCAGAATAAACTGGTCCTCGAAGGAGTAAATATGCTGGTCCTGATGAGTCCATAGTCACTCCAAGGGCCTTATCTTTACAAGCCCTTTGGTATTTCAATGGTACAACTGGTGTTTTTATTGCTCTTTATCTCTCTTTTTGCTATCTTAAAAATAAAGACAACCCCAAAACCTTTAGAGATAAAAACTGCAGAAAAGAGAGAAGAAAAAGAATCATCAGACTTTACAACTTTCAATGGTCCTTTAACTAATAATGGGAAAATAACAAAATCTAAGCTTAGGATTATGATATTTTTTCATCCAGATCACTTTGTTTGATATGCCTTTCTTAGAAGTAGAACAGATCTATAGAAAACTAAACAAATCTGTGCTACCCAGTACAACAGAGAACCCATTAGTGACTTAACTGAGTCTGACAAAGAAGTAGAGACTTTTCAAGAGAGCTGGGTTGAACTGCAGGTTGTGTTTATACAGAGCGGACACTATACCATCTAACTATGGAAACAAATTCAAAATGTAAATAGTTAAACATCTATAGCAATCATCTTTTTGCAGTGTTGGTAACAAATATGGCAACTTAGAAAGATATGGTACATGTTGGTTTGAGCTTTTTTCCAATTTCTTTTTAAAGCTCAGCATTGATTTTAGGTTGAAATTTTATGAATTTACAAGTTACTTTACGTTGAGATTTGACATCTCATTTCACCTGAAAAAAATCCCCTGTTATGATCTAAACCACGGGGCAAAGCTTCAACGTAGTCCCTGTAGTCCAGACAAGGCCAGTGAGGTGAAACTGTCAAGCCCTATGAATCCAACTACAAGCAAAAAAAAGCACAAGAACATTCATGCAAACTGATCTCCAGCTCAGTCAAATGCCACAACACATTCACTGTTTCAACAAACTAATCTTTCTTTTTGCTCATAGCTCAGCACTCCTCTTACTTTCCCGGCAGCGTGGTGTGCTCTCTGTTTCATTCTCATTTGAAAGCTGTCCAATCGTGTATGCTTGTTGCTAGTTATGCCACCTCTCAAATAAGAGCAGGAGTGGTGCAAACACAACATGTATCACATGATGGTTAAAAGTGATTTGCTCCTTGGTTAGTGGACAGTGACAGCTCAACTTAAAATTATTAGTTTTGCTTGATTCATTTATTGCAATGTATGATTCTGCACTGCAGTAGTTACAGTCCTCACTGCTTTAACAAAATACATTTTATTCTGTTGTTGTCCTCCAGTATACGGCACTAAAAAACACCTGACTCACACATATACAGAGGTGGAGTGACTAAGCTTAGCTGTTCCTTACGCTCACACAAAACAGACCACACATGATTAAATGAGAAATTTCATTTAATTTCAGGGTACTTTGAACATCCTCTCTGAAGTGATGAACTTTACACTTTCATTTTACTTTGCTGCAGCAATGAAAAATAAGAAAAATACATTTTTAGCTGTTACATCCTTACAAAAGAGTGTAAAATTTGTAGAACTGACTCTTGTTGAATGTCTATGAGTGTTTGTATTCACATACTTGCAATGTTTTAGAGCCTCACTGATAAAACGTCTGGCCTCACAATCTGTATCTAGTGACATTTGCTTATAACAGAAATAATGTCATGGGCATATGCTG